ATGTACACCTGAAGTCTACTCAACAGTCTTTTATCTACCAATACATAATCCAACAAACTACTGTCATTACGCCCTACATCATATCTTGTATACTTATTTATCCTCTTTTTCTTAAACTATGTATTACCTATAACCAAACCCCTTTCTATACAAAGTTCAATCAAAGGGATCCCATTATCATTACACCTGGCACCCCAAACTTACCTACCACACCCTCTCTAAAAGTTTCTCCTACTTTAGCATTCAGGTCCCCAAACCCCAAATTACTCTCTCACTTGGTTCAAAGGCTCCTATACATTCATTAACATCTCCCAAAATCTCTTCTCCTCTCCTCTGCATTCCTCTCTTCTCCAGGTGCATACACGCTTTATTATGACCCACTTCTTGCATCCAACCTTTACTTTAATCCACATAATTCTTGAATTTACACATTCATATTCTCTTTTCTCCTTCCATAACTGATCATTCAACATTACTGCTACCCCTTCCTTTGCTCTAACTCTCTCAGATACTCCAGATTTAATCCCATTTATTTCCCCCCACCGAAACTCCCCTACCCCCTTCAGCTTTGTTTCGCTTAGGGCCAGGACATCCAACTTCTTTTCATTCATAACATCAGCAATTATCTGTTTCTTGTCATCCGCACTACATCCACGCACATTTAAGCCCCCCAGTTTTATAAAGTTTTTCTTCTTCTCTTTTTTAGTAAATGTCTACAGGAGAAGAGGTTACTAGCCCATTGCTCTCGGCATTTTAGTCGCCTCATACGACACGCATGGCTTACGGATGAAAGATTCTTTTCCACTTCCCCATGGACAATAGAAGAAATAAAGAAGAACAAGAGCTATTTAGAAAAAGGAGAAAAACCTAGATGTATGTATATATATATATATATGCATGTGCGTATCTGTGAAGTGTGACCAAGGTGTAAGTAGGAGTAGCAAGATATCCCTGTTATCTAGCGTGTTTATGAGACAGAAAAAGAAACCAGCAATCCTACCATCATGCCAAACAGTTACAGGTTTCTGTTTCACAGTCATCTGGCAGGACGGTAGTACTTCCCTGGGTGGTTGCTGTCTACCAACCTACTACCTACTACCTGTTGTAGCATACTAATATGAATATCATCAGACTCATCTGCCGATGACTGACAGGCAGAAAGCATGGACTATAGGAGAGTGAAAGGTACATTATACGGCTCCATTCCATTAGAGGAGAAATCCAAGGGCAATTGCTCCTTGGTAGACTTAGAGGCAAGAAATGAGGGACAAAGGTGAAGCCCTTGGGAGACACGGACAAGATAGTTTCCGATTTCCGTGGCAACTTCAAGAGGTTCTGCAGCACTAACACTAGCATCCCGTAAAACGGGAGCTGGGTCCGGACTGTACTTGCCACACAACTTCCGTACCACGAGAGTCACAGTGGGACCCTCCCCATAGATGATGGTGAGCGTTAAAATCACTTAACAACAAGATGGATGGTGGTACAGAAGAGATCAAAATGCAATATCTGAGATACAGAATGCACGGGAGAGGGAAAGATATAGAGAGCAAACTCTATACCATCTGTACAAATTAATATGAGCTGCAATATAATGCAGCAGAGAACGAGCAAAAACTTATTGATACGGTATACCAAAGCACACAAGAAGTGCGTTCTCATTAAATGATTCATCAGGAAAGGGATCAGAAGAATGTAACAGCACATAGCCTGAAACGGGATGAATAACAGCTGAACAAATTTTGGGCTCTTGTAGCCCGACACACACTGGGAAAAACTGGGAGAGCAACACTTGGATCTCTCCCCAATTACCTCTGAGGCCACGAATATTCCATTGTAAATAAGACATTATTTACAAAGACAGGTATGCCAACAATAAGAAGCGATAAAATCTATGGGCTGTTAGAGTCTGTGAAGTGAACATGTGGGGGTAACAGTAAGTGTATAAGCAAGGAGGAATCAGAATGCTGTGAAGGAAAAGATTGTTGCGAGGATCGTGAAAAAGAAGGGGTAGAAGGAGGTGCGTCGGTGTCCATCGAGGATTTCATCTCCGCAATAGGATGCATTGTTAAAGGTGTGCAAGAGGCAGAGGTATTAACAGAAATGGGTGGAACAGGTGATGAAGTGCCACCAGCAGAAGGTACAGGGGTATGAGAAGAGTCTAGAGAATAGTCCAATAACAAAACCAGGTCAGAACAGGATGGGGAACAGAAAGGGGTCTGGGAGGAGGAGAGTTATCACAGAACGAGGACTCCATGATAGTGGTGCTTCTTTCTTGTTATTTTAAAGAAAAAAGGAAAGAAGGAAAGAAAACAAAGAGGGACAGTGGAGGGACAGTCACTAAGAAGGAATGGAAAGGCCTTAAGTTCGTCCTCTCATCCGAGAGGGCCTCGAGCCCATGAGCAGTGCAGATGCAGCGTGGAACCTGTGCCATACCCTACCCTTCACGCCAGCAAACCAGCGCTCCAGGATAGCAACTTCACATCTACTGAGCCACCTCGGCGGACAAAAGAAAGGGCAGTTGGAAACACACCACAGAGAATACCTCCTTTGGCTGTCGCCTCCCAGAACCGACAGGCAGCCTCTGGAGATATACCCATCATCTGCAGGACTCCCTGCCCACATCTCGAAAATCCAGGAAGGGAGCAGGGCACCTCCAGACAATTCAGATTCCATGGCAAACTACACCACCCCCGAGGGACCCCATGAAGAAGACGAGCCCCAGCACACTACCCCCTACCTAGAAACCGTAATGCCAGAGGGGAGGACCTCAGAGACTACAAACAGGAAGGGGAAAGGGGAGGGTTGGGAGGGGAGAGGAAAGGGGAAAAAAGGGGGGATGGGATGGGACAGGGAAGGGAGGATTGGGGGGTACTTAGTTTCGGTCTGAGGAAGGATACCAAAGGGTTTAATTCCTTAGGCTAAGAGCCTCTTTGCCACATCAAGGGGCCCCCTATGAAGAGGATGAGGATGAGGAATAGGATGGGAGCAAGTACTGTGCCTTGTGGAACAAGGCACAGACTTTACTGCTTATTATTACTCTTTGTGTTATATTTGTTAAGAAGATATAGATCCATCTACCAACTTTTCCTGTTATTCCTTTATCACGCATTTTGTGCACTATTACGCTGTGGTCGCACTTGTCAAAGGCTTTGCAAAGTTTGTGTATACTACATCTGCATTTTGTTTATCCTCTATAGTATCCAGGACGCTGTCATAGTGGTCCAGTAGCTGGGACAGGCAGGAGTGACCTACTGTAAACCCATGTTGCCCTGGGTTGTGTAACTGATGGGTGATCTTGCTTCTTAGACCCTTTCAAAGATTTTTATGATATGGGATGCTAGTGCTATCGGTCTGTAGTTCTTTGCAATTGCTTTACTACCACCTTTGTAGAGTGGGGCTATGTCTGTTGTGTTTAGTGATTGTGGCATAACCCCATAGAATGCTGAAGGCACATGACAGGGGCTTCTTGCAGTTCTTGATGAATACGGAGTTCCATGAATCCGGGCCTTGGGCAGAGTTCATGGGCATGTTATTTACTGTCTTTTCGAAGTTTTGTGGTGTTAGCATAATATCAGAGATTTTTGCGATGACGAAATTTTGGTTCTCGGTCATAAAGAATTCATTTAGATTATCGACCCTAAGCCTGGTTAATGGCTCGCTGAACACTGAGTCCTATTGGGACTTTAGTATCTCACTCGTTTCTTTGCTTTCATCTGTGTAGGTCCCATCTCGCCTAAGCTGGGGCCCAATACTGGATTTGGCATAAGAGAAGAAGTATTTTGTTTTTTTAAATTTCCTTCATGGCTTTTAGTTTTTCCTGAGATTCTTGTCTCCTGTAAGATTCCTTAAGCTTAAGTTCGATATTTGCTATTTCTCTGACCAGTGCCTCCCTTCGTATTTCAGATATATTGGCCTCTCTCAGCAGCTCTGTGATTCTTCGTCTTTGCCTATATAGGGAGTTTCTCTCTCTTTCTAGTTTAAATCTCTTTCGTTTTCTTAATGGAATGTGCCTTGAGCAGACCTCAAGTGCCACATAGCTATTTTTTCTAGGTAAAGGCTCGGGTCCATGTTGTTTAGGATATCTTCCCAGCTTGTTTCATTTAGGACATGGTTGACTTGTTTCCATTGTATGTTTTTGTTATTGAAGTTGAATTTTGTGAAGACACCCTCATGACTGATCACATTTTGCTGGTCAGGAGCCCTGTGCATACATATTTGTGCCTCTGTTATGTTGTGATCTGAGTGCATTGTCTTTGATACGGTAATATTACACATCACATCGTCGTGGTTAGTGAAGATGAGGTCCAACATATTTTAGTCTTGTAGGCTCTAATATTTGCTGGTTTAAAGTGAATTTGGTGCAGAGATATAATAGCTCGTGTATGTGTGTGAATTTTCATTTGAGCTGCCTCCTAGGGTGATCTCTGCTAAAATATTATTTGTTACACTTCTCCATTTTAAGTCTCAAGTTGAAATCTCCCAGTAGTAAGATGTTCGGGGCAAGAGTTGGGAGATTTTCCAGACAGTGGTCAATTTTCAAAAGCTGTTCCTGGAATTGCTGGGAAGTTGCATCCGGAGGCTTGTATACAAACACAATGACAAGGTGGAAATGGAGGAAGTTGGGGCTCGGATGATGTAGATAAGGCAAAGGAGGAATTACAGAGAGGGTGAATGGAAGTGAGGATTAAGTCATAGAGAGAAGTGATAATACCGTAAACATGCTGATTAATTATCACATTAATATCATGAACAACGCAAAATATATGTAGCCAATGCTACCTTAAATGGGCTGAAGTCGCCCCACTCAGTCAATTTTCAAAGGGTGATAATATTTTTAACAGAGATAAGTCCCCATAAGTAAGTTTGTTCAGGTATACACAAATACAGTTACACAGATTATCATACATAGCAGCATATGTGTAGAGAACCTAGGATAACCCTTCTGTTATTTTTATGTTCACAAAAACGCTGAGCTCCTCCCTCTCCTTCCATGGCAGGTGCTAGAAGCCCACGACCTGAAGCCCGTGAAGTTGGGGCCGAAGGAGGGCATCGCTCTCATCAATGGTACACAACTCATCACTTCCATGGGCGCTGAGGCAGTGGAACGAGCGGAGACAGTGGCCCGGCAGGCAGACGTGGTGGCCGCTCTCTCTCTGGAAGTCCTCAAGGGAACCTCAAGAGCCTTTGACAGCGGTAAGTACAAGTCAGTTTTGCTCTGATACTACTGCGTCTGTCTCCATTATTTTTCTTCTTTACTCCCCAGCCCTCATTACAGCCAAAGATGCTATATTTTGCCACGAGGGTAGAGTTTATTGAGCAGCGCCATTTAGCCTGAGTGAACATACTGCTATATTCACTGTGCATATCAACCCAAATAGTTGATACTCCATTGAACATCAAAATGGTATACAATACCGACAGGTTGTTAGGTAAGACACATATGCAACAGTTATACAACTTTATTCCGAAACGTTTCGCCTACACAGTAGGCTTCTTCAGTCGAATACAGAAAGAAGGCAGGAACAGTAGAGATGTGAAGACGATGTAATCAGTCCATCACCCTTGAAGTCGTAGAATTTGAGGTTGTCAGTCCCTCGGCCTGGACAAGCTTTTCAAGTGAGAAGTGTTGGATCTGAGAGGGACATGACCTCTCAGTGGCTACATTCTCACTACTACTACTACCCTGCACCTCTCCTTCCGACAGTATTTAAGTCTCCGCACTGTCGCTTGATCTTCAGATAGTTCCTGACTATGGAACTGAACTTCTCCAGGCCGAGGGACTGACGACCTCAAATTCTACGACTTCAAGGGTGATGGACTGATTACATCGTCTTCACATCTCTACTGTTCCTGCCTTCTTTCTGTATTCGACTGAAGAAGCCTACTGTGTAGGCGAAACGTTTCGGAATAAAGTTGTCTAACTGTTGCATATGTGTCTTACCTGATACTTCATTGGCGACTTCAACTATACGATTGGCTGTTACAATTAGAACAATAACTTTCCAATTACTACAAAACATGAAACTGAGAAGTTACATATTATATCAGTGTAACTCTTGTGATGGCCTTGTAAGCTTCCAGCTCCTGAAATCATGTATTTGTGCGTCACTTCTCCGTTGAGGTCCAACAAAACATTACCGGACTTGATGATAATCAGGCTCGATGGAGCTTCTTATTTAGTCAGTAACCAAATAAACTTTTTAGAAATATCTGGTCCGAGATGTATTAGTATAAACATTACCTTGCAACAGTAACAATCAAGAGGCCAGGAAGATGATAGCACAGCAGAAGGTATAGTAGCTGAGACGTACACAGAAGTAGATATAATAATTGTGATTTTAACAGACGTACACAGCAGTGAGACGTATACAGCAGCAGGTATAATAACATGTGTAATCTTGGACAGACGTACACAAGCTGCGACATCACAAGGGCCAGATGGATGTGGCCAGGAGGATCAGAGCTCTCCTGCACAGCGACACCTTCGTCTCCGAGATTGCAGGTATCTGAGAGGGATGAGAGGAAACACAGATGGAGAGGGGACAGAGATAGAGAGAGAGGATAGAAGGGAAAAGGAGGGAGGAAGAAGGTATGAAGAAAAGGAATAGGAAGGAGAGGGAGTGGAGTGAAAGAGGGAAATATATAAATAAAAAACTAAATCTCAGGAAGACAATGACAATGAAACTAAACATTTCAGCCTCTCACTCCAGCAGCGTGTTGTATATAGAGTAGATATTACTGCATTTTCCAGCATAGAAGGCGTGCTTTTTTTCACCCTCCCCCTTCAAAAAGTCTAGGAAAATCACCCTGCGCCTTATATGCTCAAGGTCAGGGTTAAGGGTAGGCTTTGGGTTACGCCACATGCGCTGTATAATCCTACGAGTTTAACGCTCCCCCATAATTATAATAATAATAATAATTTGAGTTACGCCTGTGAGTTTTAGCTCTCACTTGCCATGGTCTTAAGCTCCTTAAGCTCCGTGATTTGTTTGAAATAATGCTATTACGATTCAGTGAGTTGAGTTTGCCTGTGAAGTAATTAGCAACCTGAGTTAAAGAACACAATTCTAAAGAGTCTTGATCTGCATGTAACATTTTTTTTCCTTTCCTCTCGCATCTGTGGCCAACGTCAGAGTCTCACCGGTTTTGTGACCGCGTGCAGGACGCCTACACTCTGCGCTGCACCCCGCAGGTCCATGGCATCGTCCACGACACACTCCACTTCGTCAGAGGCATCATAACCGACGAGATGAACTCAGCCACAGACAACCCAGTAAGATATTCTGACTTCCTCAGCAGGTAACACCGCCAGCCATGGCTCGAAGAGGCTCTCTGCTCAAGGCAGGTTCCTTGGCCCGCGTCAGGAAACACTTGTCCTGTTTCCTGATAAACCTTACCTAATCTAACCTAGGTTCTTTGATGCCGATGAGGGGCACTTATTTCCAGGAACTGGATCAACTCTTCCCTTCCCTTCCACGAATCGAACCTAAATGCCTCTCATGTTCTCAAGCATTGTATGATCCCTACAGGTTTTAGCACTATTAATTGGACATCCAAGATGGGAGTGGTGGTGCCTTGTTGGTGAAGGGCTCATGATCCATGACGTTGTTAGGTAAGACACATATGCAACAGTTAGACAACTTTATTCCGAAACGTTTCGCCTACACAGTAGGCTTCTTCAGACGAATACAGAAAATAGGCAGGAACAGTAGAGATGTGAAGACGATGTAATCAGTCCATCACCCTGACTATGGAACTGAACTTCTCCAGGCCGAGGGACTGACAACCTCAAATTCTACGACTACAAGGGTGATGGACTGATTACATCGTCTTCACATCTCTACTGTTCCTGCCTATTTTCTGTATTCGTCTGAAGAAGCCTACTGTGTAGGCGAAACGTTTCGGAATAAAGTTGTCTAACTGTTGCATATGTGTCTTACCTAACAACCTGTCTGTATTGTATACCATTTTGATGTTCATCCATGACGTTGGAGCAGCCCTCCGGTTCCTCGTACAAAATCTAATTGCCTTCCATTTTTCAGGACTTTACAATTCATAATGGTTTAGCGCTTACCAAGGAATATTAATGACTCTCAGGTTACATGCTAAATCTTCTGTCACCCCGCTGCTGAGGTACAGATGGTGTTTTGTTCGTCAGGAAACAGGACAAGTACCTCCTGACACTGGTGTTGGTGGTAGTGTTTTGTTCGTCAGGAAACAATGAACACTTTTATATGTAAAATTTAAAGAAGACGTAAGATGAAAGGCTATACAGGACATATACACGGAGAGATGCATATTTCTGGGCGTATTTAAGCTCAGAGTTTACTTTAATCCCTATTTTAGGGATTAAATTATTCTTGACTGGTGGTGAATATATATATGTTCTCAGCAGTGCTGCTGTAACTACAAGTCAACACACACACACACGGTGACCACCTCTTACCACCTGTTGCTTCTCCCTCCAGCTGGTGATCTCTGAGAGGAAGGAAATCATTAGTGCCGGGAACTTCCACGGGGAGTACCCGGCCAAGGCAGTCGACTACTTGGCCATCGCTATACACGAGATTGCTAATATGTCTGAGAGGAGGATTGAACGACTTGTTAATCCAGGTAAGAGGCGACCACATACTTCATGAACGACTTGTCAAATCAGTCAAGTAGCAGGTAACGACATAGCTTACAATGTTTGTGTGGAGGGGGTGTAGGACCATGAGGTCAGGCAGGCAAAAATGTTCACTCCACATGCCAGAAAATCACCCAAATTTGTGAGAATTTCGCCACACGCTGCCACATTATTGTAATGAGTTCTAGAGTGGTAAAGGAGTTCTTGGAAGAATACTCAGGGGCTATGCTTCCTTATGAGGGGAGACCTGATCGAAGTGTATAAGTGGAAGATAGGTATTACCTGGAGTTTACCTGGAGAGAGTTCCGGGGGTCAACGCCCCCGCGGCCCGGTCTGTGACCAGGCCTCCTGGTGGATCAGAGCCTGATCAACCAGGCTGTTACTGCTGGCTACACGCAAACCAACGTACGAGCCACAGCCCGGCTGGTCAGGAACCGACTTTAGGTGCTTGTCCAGTGCCAGCTTGAAGACTGCCAGGGGTCTGTTGGTAATCCCCCTTATGTATGCTGGGAGGCAGTTGAACAGTCTCGGGCCCCTGACACTTATTGTATGGTCTCTTAACGTGCTAGTGACACCCCTGCTTTTCATTGGGGGGATGTTGCATCGTCTGCCAAGTCTTCTGCTTTCGTAGTGAGTGATTTTCGTGTGCAAGTTCGGTACTAGTCCCTCTAGGATTTTCCAGGTGTATATAATCATGTATCTCTCCCGCCTGCGTTCCAGGGAATACAGGTTTAGGAACCTCAAGCGCTCCCAGTAATTGAGGTGTTTTATCTCCGTTATGCGCGCCGTGAAGGTTCTCTGTACATTTTCTAGGTCAGTAATTTCACCTGCCTTATTAGTAAAGGGGATATTAATAAGGTCTTGAGGATATCTCTCCAAGAGAGAACTCGCAGTAATGGATTTAAATTAGATAAGTTTAGATTTAGAAAGGACACAGGAAAGTATTGGTTTGGAAATAGGGTAGTTGATGAGTGGAACAGTTTACCTAGTTGGGTTATTGAGGCTAGGACTTTGGGTAGTTTCAAATTTAGGTTGGATAAGTACATGAGTGGGAGGGGTTGGATTTGAGTGGGACTTGCACATCGGAGCTTGTTAGGTAAGACACATATGCAACAGTTAGACAACTTTATTCCGAAACGTTTCGCCTACACAGTAGGCTTCTTCAGTCGAATACAGAAAGTAGGCAATAACAGTAGAGATGTGAAGACGATGTAATCAGTCCATCACCCTTAAAGTCGTAGAATTTGAGGTTGTCAGTCCCTCGGCCTGGAGAAGTTCAGTTCCATAGTCAGGAACTATCTCAGATAGTTCCTGACTATGGAACTGAACTTCTCCAGGCCGAGGGACTGACAACCTCAAATTCTACGACTTTAAGGGTGATGGACTGATTACATCGTCTTCACATCTCTACTGTTATTGCCTACTTTCTGTATTCGACTGAAGAAGCCTACTGTGTAGGCGAAACGTTTCGGAATAAAGTTGTCTAACTGTTGCATATGTGTCTTACCTAACAACCTGTCGGTATTGTATACCATTTTGATGTTCATCACATCGGAGCTTGTTTCTTGGGTGGCATTGAAAATTGTGTTGGTCAAATGTTTTGTTAGTGGGATGAATTGTAAAGGACCTGCCTAGTATGGGCCAACAGGCCTGCCGCAGTGTTCCTCCTTTCTTATGTTCTTATGTTATTGAGGCTAGATGTCCGAGTCAGCCAGCCCTTGGTCCTGCCTATTTCGTGTCTATTTTGAAATTGAATATACCCACGGCCGCGGGTACGAGAGTACACTAGTTGTCCGGCACATGCGCATTCAGGGTATATCATTTAGTTCAACCGACCTACTTGTGACTCGCTCAATGGTCCTTACTAACAGTCACTTACACTGACATACCACTATATAAAATACCATTGACAGGCCTACTGCAGTGTTCTTATGCATTTGTAGATGAATGGTTCAGAGAACCGACATGTTGATAAATTAGACACATGTGCAACTCTTGGGTATCTTTATTGAGGAAACGTTTCGCCACACAGTAGCTTCATCAGTCCATACAAAGGAGAATCTTGAAGAACAGGAGGAGAATGAGGTAATCAGTCCCTCAACCTTGAGTCGATGTGGTCAGTCCATCAATCTTGAATAGAATCTTCTTATGCATGTTAATCCAGGTGAGAGACAACTACACACTTGAATGAACGACTTGCTACATGAGGTCAGACTAGAGAATCCACCAGAGAACGACTTGTTATACTAATAGTAGAAAAATTACTCGTGTTGCCATTTAAAAAACTAAATTATGCCATGTTGACACAAGCTCCATAAAGTTCGGTGGGTAGAAATAAGTGATAGCAGACTCGATACTTTACATCTGCAAACTAAAGTGAACTGGTGAGCAGTGGAAAATTTTTTTTTATCTCTGGAGCAATATTCACCTCGTGAGTTTTCAGAGACCAGGCAATTCTTTCCCTTCGGAATAGTACTGCAGATTAATAGCAAATTAAGCCTTTAGTAGCACCAATAAAAGTTAGACATAAAGGGTGAACAGGCATCGATGTATTGTAAGTCAGTGTATTTATGCTTGTCTCTCCCTGCTGTGTGCAGCCCTCAGCGAGCTGCCAGCATTCCTAGTGAGTGAAGGAGGTCTCAACTCTGGCTTCATGATAGCTCACTGCACTGCCGCCGCCCTCGGTATGTATTTCACCGTCTGTATCTCACTGTCCATTAGTGTGTCATCATCTCTCAGTGTGTCACCCTCGCTATCTCTTCATCTCTCATTATAAGTGTCAAATGTAACTACTAGAAGAATACCATCAATTTCCTACAAGTTTTCCATCTTGCCTACCAAATGAGGCTTCAGTATTTTCGTATATATTCTATTATTTTACTACGTACTGTATTTTGTATCAATCTGTACTTATTTTCCTTCCTTCCCCCTGAATGCTTGTGTGACTGCTGTGACGGACAGTGTCAGAGAACAAGGTGTTGTGCCACCCCGCTAGTGTGGACTCCCTAACTACCTCAGCGGGAACAGAGGACCATGTCTCCATGGGTGGCTTCGGGGCACGCAAGGCTCTCATGGTACGTACACCTGCAAGGCTCTCATGGTACGTACACCTGCAAGGCTCTCATGGTACCTACACTGCAAGGCTCTCATGGTAAGTACACCTGCAAGGCTCTCATGGTACGTACACCTGCAAGGCTCTCATGGTAGGTACACCTGCAAGGCTCTCATGGTACCTACACTGCAAGGCTCTCATGGTAAGTACACCTGCAAGGCTCTCATGCTACGCACACCTGCAAGGCTCTCATGGTACGTACACCTGCAAGGCTCTCATGGTACCTACACTGCAAGGCTCTCATGGTAAGTACACCTGCAAGGCTCTCATGCTACGCACACCTGCAAGGCTCTCATTGTACGTACACATGCAAGGCTCTCATTGTACGTACACCTGCAAGGCTCTCATTGTACGTACACCTGCAAGGCTCTCATTGTACGTACACATGCAAGGCTCTCATTGTACGTACACCTGCAAGGCTCTCATGGTACGTACACCTGCAAGGCTCTCATGGTACCTACACTGCAAGGCTCTCATGGTAAGTACACCTGCAAGGCTCTCATTGTACGTACACCTGCAAGGCTCTCATTGTACGTACACATGCAAGGCTCTCATTGTACGTACACCTGCAAGGCTCTCATGGTACGTACACCTGCAAGGCTCTCATGGTACCTACACTGCAAGGCTCATGGAAAGTACACCTGCAAGGCTCTCATTGTACGTACACATGCAAGGCTCTCATTGTACGTACACCTGCAAGGCTCTCATTGTACGTACACATGCAAGGCTCTCATTGTACGTACACCTGCAAGGCTCTCATGGTACGTACACCTGCAAGGCTCTCATGGTACGTACACCTGCAAGGCTCTCATGATACGTACACCTGCAAGGCTCTCATGATACGTACACCTGCAAGGCTCTCATGGTACGTACGCATGCAATTCTCTCATGGTACGTATACATGCAAGGCTCTCATGGTACGTACACCTGCAAGGCTCTCATGCTACGTACACTGCAAGGCTCTCATGGTACGTACACTGCAAGGCTCTCATGGTACGTACACACGCAAGGCTATCATGATTCGTACACTCACAAAGCTCTCATGGTACGTACGCACGCAAGGCTTTCATGATACGTACACCTGCAAGGCTCTCATGGTACGTACACCAGCAAGGCTCTCATGATATATACACCTGCAAGGCTCTCATGGTACGTACACCAGCAAGGCTCTCATGGTACATACACCTGCAACGCTCTCATGATATATACACCTGCAAGGCTCTCATGGTACGTACACATGCAAGGCTCTCATGGTACGTACACCTTCAAGGTTCTCGTGTGGTACGTACACCCACAAGGCTCTCATGGTACGTACACCTTCAAGGTTCTCGTGTGGTACGTACACCTTCAAAGTTCTCGTGTGGTACGTACACCCACAAGGCTCTCATGGTACGTACACCCACAAGGCTCTCATGGTACGTACACCCACAAGGCTCTCATGGTATGTACACCTACAAGGTTTTCATGGTATGTACACCCACAAGGTTCTCGTGTGGTACGTACACCCACAAGGCTCTCATGGTACGTACACCCACAAGGCTCTCATGGTATGTACACCTACAAGGTTCTCGTGTGGTACGTGCACCCACAAGGCTCTCATGGTACGTGCACCCACAAGGCACTCATGGTACGTACACCCACAAGGCTCTCATGGTACGTACACCCACAAGGCTCTCATAGTACGTACACCCACAAGGCTCTCATGGTACGTACACCCACAAGGCTCTCATCGTTGACACCCCAGGATCTCATGGTCTGTAACCTTCAAGGTTCTCGTGTGGTACGTACACCCACAAGACTCTCATGGTACGTACACCCACAAGGCTCTCATGGTACGTACACCCACAAGGCTCTCATGGTACGTACACCTTCAAGGTTCTCGTGTGGTACGTGCACCCACAAGACTCTCATGGTACAAACCATACCCCCAGCCGGGATTGAACCCGCGGTCATAGAGTCTCAAAACTCCAGCCCAGTTTGTTTGTTTGCAATCGTGTCATTACGATTTTTTGAGTCACTCTCATGGTACGTACACCCACAAGGCTCTCATGGTACGTACACCTTCAAGGTTCTCGTGTGGTACGTACACCCACAAGACTCTCATGGTACGTACACCCACAAGGCTCTCATGGTACGTACACCCACAAGGCTCTCATGGTACGTACACCTACAAGGCTCTCATGGTACGTACACCCACAAGGCTCTCATGGTATGTACAACCCAGAATTTAGGGAACAAATTATAAAATATGTTTCTGTAAAATTGACCATTATCAAGAAATGAACGAAATAACGACTAAAGTCTCCATCCAAATCGTATATTAGTTATAATTTGCTTCAGTAACTATATTATAACATTCCCCACAAACACCTGTAACAGTTACAAAACAGTCATCACAGCGGCTACTATATTTACCTCAGGTAGTGGAGAACGTGGAGAGAGTCATTGCTATAGAACTGATGGCAGCGTGTCAGGCGATTGAGTTCCTACGACCTCTCAAGACGACCACACCCCTGGAAGAAGTCATCAAAGTCGTCCGCTCCGTGGTTAGGTAAGAGAGAGAGTGGAAGGGATGGAGAAGATGAAGGAGAGAAAATGAATAGGTAGGTTGATGGGAGAAAAAAAGGGAGAGTGAGAGGGTATTAGGGAGGGAGAGATGTTAATATTCATAAAACAGTAAATTTATACTTCCCGTAATGAAGAACAAAAAAAAAAAGCAAAGATTAAGTCTACGAAACCCAGCTACCGTGAGTAATTTCCTGTTTATTTTCTTATCACATTGTCTCCAATATCTTAGTGAATAACTGTGCTAGTGGCTTTCTTAGACCTTCAGCTACTTCTTTCAGTATCCCAGCGATAGGTTCTTATCTCCCAGTCTTCAATGTATTCAGTTTTCTCCGTAATATCACTACTTCACTACTTGATATAGTAATGTCTCCCGGCTACGAGGGTGATATTATCCCTCATTCCTATCTAGTTATGAAAAGGCAGCGGAAATTCTGACTAAGTTCTTCACATAACTGACCTCTTATGGGAAGTGCCTTGATGCCGGTGAGGATCGGTATTACTGGCCCAGTAGAGTCTCACCTTCGTCTGTTCCAACAGCAGAGTTTCACCTATGTTTGTTCCAACAGGCCCTACGACAAGGATCGCTTCCTGGCCCCTGACATAGATACCATCACTGAACTCCTGAAGGATAACAAGATCTGGCTGGCTGTGAGGCACCACATCGAACACTACCACTCTGTCCAGGTGAGCAGCACCAGAGTTAGGTCAGGCTGACAACATGAGCTGAGAGAGTGAGAACATCACTTCATCTGAAACCATTTATCCCCAGGATGACTCGAGTACTGGAACACATTCGTACAGCATAATGATGTCAACGAGATAAAGTCAGTTGATCAAATGAAAATGCTGGCCCACAGATGGCTCCAACTTCATCCTGTTCCCTACTTGTATGTTTCATAACAATAAAAATGCTTTCAAATGAGCTGATGTAGGTAACAGCTCTTAGCTTGTCAATAAAGTTAGGAATCCTTAACTTGTCAATAGCTTGTCAATAAAGTTAGGGATCCTTAACCTAACCTTGTCAAACCCTGTGTAAAAAAAAAAGTCAAAAGGAAACTGAGAATAAGGTGTATCAAAATGGGTCATAAAAATATCAAACAGTTTAATAAGACAAAACTGACTCAGTAAAATGCTGCCATATACATATAATTTCACCAATAACAATGCAAAAGCAAAAAGCGGAGAATGTGAGGGGATTTGTAATATTTTTCAAACAATGTCTCAGAAAACCTCTCCTTCCTTTAATAACAACTCTTAGTCTTTGTTTTTCAAGCTTCTTGATGTGTATGTTCCTCCTTCATCAGCATGTGGAAACAAGGGTGTTCTCCCCAAGCATGAGCTTCATAGGAAGCGGTCCTCCTCGGCCCTTCAAGAGAAGCCTCAACAACGGCAGACCAACACGCTCCCCCGCCACCAAGACCAAAAGGCAGAGAACCTGCAGCAAGAATAACTAACACACGGTTACTCTCACCAAGTATAGTGACGGGGCAGTCACATCCAGCCCTGCCAAGCACCGTAGTAACGAACACCAGTGCAACTGGAGCTCCAAACACCAGTGCACGACGAAAACGAGACACCAAATCCGTAGCAACGACGACCAGATTTAGTCAGTAGCTAAAGCAAACGTAACAGTATCCAGAACATAGTCACAACCTCCAACAAGCTTAATAAATTATAATAATTATTTAAACAATACAAAATCAGAATTTTATATTCAACACTATTCTGAATGGATCAGAGGCAGACTAGTTTCATGAGCATAGCAACTTAAAACTGAAATCATGACCAGGCACTGAGAATGCTGGTCTCTTGAGCATTTTGTAGCCTTGAATCTCTACTTAAAAGTTCAAAGATAAAGTTTATTGTAAAAATGGGTATTGTGTGGTAAAGGCGTTGTTGTTGGGTCGTATTTTGTATGATGCATTGTTATTATTATTTATTAATATTATGACAACGACTGTGATGCTGGCAGTGTCTTTTCGGGTAGTGATATTTAGCGATGTTCATCACTTAGCGATGTTCATCACTTAGCGATGTTCATCACTTACTGATACTCATCACTTTGCGATGTTCATTACTTAGCGATGTTCATTATTTAGTGATGTTATAGTTATTTGCTTTATATCATATTTAGTGATTATTTCAAAGAGCAGTTTTCTCTCACACTTTGTGTGTAAGTGTAAGCATGTATTCGTGAAAGCACGAGTATATTTAAGTATCTGTGTATGTAAGTTGCTTGTGTGAATGTATATGTGTAGTCACATGGTTGTGTATGTCAGTGATATACTATACAGATAAGTATGAGATAATCATACAAACTGCGGCTTAACACATTTTAATGATATGATGTTTCTTCTACCAGTGACGTTATCAACTCTGCAGAACTGATAACGTTCCTGGTGGACGTTTCATCTACCAGTGACGTTACGAACTCTGCAGAACGTCTTATCAGTAAAATACCATAAACCACATACTGTATCTTATTAACTGGCTCAATTGCGTCTGAGGATTAAATTTCAGGTATTGGGTTCCGCCTTTGCACTCGGAAAAACTGGATTTCCTTATATTTACTTTTAAATTCATATATTCTGAAGAAATTCTCTCTTGTTTCCATTTAGTTTTTAGAGTTTTAAGTTTCCCGTTGTGTCCCCTTACTCTGTTCTCTCTACTTTAAACAGTCTCTTATTAACTTTGCCGTTACAGCTTCATTACTCCGCTGGTTCTCTTATGTGAGTGATGTAAGATCAACCTTTCTTAACCTATCCTCGTATTCCAGCCTTGTAAGAAATCTTTGAACTTTCTTAGGCTTCGTTCATGCTCGGCGAGATTGCGGTTTCATGCTGGAGCCGCGTACTCAATCACTGGTCTCGTGTATGCCGTGTACTTTGATTTTTTTTATATTTTATTTAAAACAGCACATTACATAAGATAAAGTATAAATATATATATATATAATATATTTATATATATATATTATATATATTTATATATTATATATTATATATATATATATATATATTATATATTATATATATTATATATATATTTATATTTTATATATATATATATATAAACACACACAAGCAGAACCAAAAATATTCTAAGAACTATCCATATCCTAAACACACCACCACCACCACACAACGGAGGTAGGGCCCTACCCCCCCACCTCACATCCTCCCACCCAGCAAACCTACAGCATAACAAAAGGGTATACAAAGGAAATAAAATGAAAATATGCTTACTGACATGAAATTCGTAATTATGGCATGCTGAGTCATCATGCCGACTATGTTCTGCAGACCGCACGTCACTGCCCCAGCAGAATTCCCCCCCCCCCAACCTGCCGGCGAAGGACAGGATATAAGCCTCCCACAACTTAGCGGAAACATGCCCTATGCAACACTTGAGTTCCGGTACCAACATGATATTAGTCCACTCTGGTGAACCTCACCAGGCAGCTCACAACTTGTTGCCCATGTAGTACGGTAAGGATCCGCACCGTAACAACTTTCATGTGTGGCAATACGCCACACGCATCTCAACACAAGATGCATTTCACAATGATCACACATGGACGTTCCTCTATGGCACTCTGTTCACTGGATGCATATCACCACAGGCCAATGGCTTAATATACATGGTAGCCATACGAAATGCCCCCGGCATGGAGACAATAACACAGCACCGGCAGTGTCAGTGCTTTGCCAGCCCACACTTAGGTGCGAATGCACCACTGGCAACAATGCCAACCTCACGCATAACACTGACATACCATCGACCCACAGGCACAGGGAACATCAACCCCCGTGAGCACCCAGTCATGTGCAACATAATGACACGTTGCACGGGAACAACAGGACAGCACTGCCATGCACATTCCAACCAGATTCACACTCACACACCTCCCACTAGAGGGGCATGCCGACATTCACACCACACTCACAGCTGGAGCTATTGTCATCATACGCAATTCGCCCATGCACACCTGCACACATACGTACCCCTACCCTACCGACCCACTCTCACCAGGCAGCAAGCCCGTTGCAGCCCCCTGAACACCCCATCCCACCACAAACTTCACCATGCACCACCGCCTTGTATGCAACCCCCCCCTCACAATGCAAGCAGACCCCCCATCGTGAGGGTCCTATAACCCTCCGAAAATCCAGCCTTCCACCGTTTCCCATATAAGTCCCTATTTCTGCACACCATTCTATAGAACGGTGCCACCAAAACCCTCTTCCACACACCCACACTCCCCCTGCCCCCTCATGCACCATGACATGTAACCAAAATCCACAGTTACATACACGACCGCCCAGGCAACTCCCTCGACCTACCCCCCCACATCTCAACTAAGCGCCCGCAGCACGGACGACCTCCCCCTCCCGACCCACCCCCCCACTCAATTAATCCTTTCTAATCCCCCCAACCCCTCACAAAAATTACACATGGAATGCTTTTTCACCCCCCCCGTATATCCCACTCCCCCCCCTCCACCACCCGTCTACCCTTTTGTACCGGATGTCACAAAATACCATGCAAAAAACTGGTACATCCCTCATGGACCCTAGGACAGGCCCCATCTTACTGAAACGAAGCCAAAGTTGCCCCCCTCATACATAGGGAGATCCCCCCCGGTGCTACTACGTTACCCCTGCGTCTACACAAAAAACCCCCCCCCTGAGTTTCCCTGGCTCCCGAGCCCTCGCCATTGCTTGCAATATGCTACACTCCCACAAATGTGCCCCCATACAAATGCTGTAACACATCACGCACCCGGCCCATCTGACCCTCACGGAATCCCCCAATTCACATCACCTCCCACCTAATAAATACATATTTAACTTGCCGACGCAGGTCCAGTAGTCCCCCCCTCCAGCCTTGCCGGCAACATCACCGCCTCTTGTCGCATCCATTCACACCCCGAGCCCCTTAGTACCATGTCTGTTGGCAAAATACCATGCAGAAACTAGTACATCACCTCACAGACCCTAGGACCGAGCCTCATCTTACTGAAACGAAGGCAAATGTTGCCCCAATCATATATAGGGTAGATCCCTTCCACTGGTGATACTACCTTACCCACTAGCAGTCTACACAAAACCTCCACCCTGAGTTTCCCTGGCTCCTGAGCTATTGCCAAAGCTCTCAACACTGTCTCACACTCCCACAACTCTGCACCCCCATACAAATGCTATAACACATCACGCACCCGGCCCATCTGACTCCCACGGAATCCCCCAACTAGCATCATCTCCCACCTAATAAATACATATTTAACTTGCTGACGCAGGTCCAGTAGTGCCCCCCACCTTGCTGGCAATGTCACCACCTTTCATCGCATCCATTCGCACCCAGAGCCCCATAGAAATCTGAACACCCTCTTGAGGATATGTGTGATCACAGGCCCCCATTTTGGAGTACACAGCAGGATGTACCAGATTTTGCTTAACAGAAGGACATTCACCACAATTACATGCTGTAAAAGGGTTAAATGATATGGATGCAACGTCCCCAAGCGTTTCTCTACCCTTTCCACCATCCTTACTGAGTTGACCTCATGTGCCTCCATCTGGTCCCCTGCATAAACGACACCACAAATCTTTAAAGTCTCTGCACACCACATCACCACAGCACAACCCCACTCCGCATGCACTTCCATGCCCCCAGTCCCATGATCGACGATTTCTCTGCATTCACGGTCATGCCCATGGCACCCCCAAACGTCCGGACTATTCCCTCCAACTCACCAGCCTCATTCATTTCTCCACCAGAATAGTCGTATCATTGATATATCTCACTAACCCTGGCTATTCCCTCCCCTCCTGCACACCCCCCTCAACATATAGAGCCCTCAATCAACCTATAAAAGGGGCCCTGGACACACGCAAACAAAAGCTGCAGCATCGGGCACCCCTGACATAGATCCCTACCCATGCTCACTGCCCCCTCACATGCCCACTGATCTGCACCCATGCTTGCACTCCCCTGTACAAAGTCTACACCCCCCCCCTATTTCCTCCCCAAAGCCCTGTTTGAGGAGGACGCCCCACAAAGCCTTCCATTCTACCATGTCATAGGCTTCCCTTCCAATCCAACGCCAACAAGACTACTTCAGTTCCTCTACAAACCCCTTAAGAACCCCATGCCCTGGCACCATCGACCCACCCGGCAAGCCAAATTGGCTTTGCTACACAACCCTATTCACGACACATTTCATTTGATTCCCCAATACCTTCACAAACAGTTTATAATCGGCACACAACAATGATATGGTGCGATAGTCCCGAAGGGTACACTGCTGCGACCCCTTCAGCACCAGCACCACCACTGCCGTGGCCTGCAGCTCACCCAACTTACTCACCCTACTTCATTGTATCAATCAACTGAACTAAAAAGCCCAGCAGCAGCTCCCAATGTTGCATGTAAAATTCACACGGCAGGCTGTCCAAACCCGGCACCTTACCCGTACTCATCCTCATCAGCGCCCACCAGATTTCTTCCTCTTCAATGGCTTCCCCCAGCGCAGCGTGATCACACCCCTCAAGTTTACAGAGCACGAACCAACACACCCCTTCCAAATCCTCCCCCAATTCATGTACTTTGAATTAAATGTCTCCCTGTTTAGAGTCCTGAATACTTTTTCTATGGTTGCCAGTTTTGAAAATACCGCCAATGTTATCGTGTTTACATGCGCCACAGGGAGAATGCTAGACGTCATGCTCACCTTTAGCTCTTTTTTCTGATTCTGTGAGTAACTTCTCTCTCAGTTGGTATTCTTTCTCATCCCTCTGGTTGGAGGCCAGAGGAATGATTGATTCCATCAGTCCCATTTCATATTTCACCCAATATGGCATTTTTTTTTTTACATATATGAGGAACAGTAGGAGCCTTAGGCTGAATCTTGTAGTATTCCACTTGTTATCTCTCTCTATCTGGACTTACAGTCTCTCACCCTGACTGCACTTTGTTTCCTATCCCCTTACTCTATGAAGAACATTCCCAGCCACTACAACCTGTGTTTCCAATTCGTACATTAATTTCATTATTCCTATCTGTTATCTCGTCATAGAATTTAACTGGCATAGTTTGACAGCAGTTTTCTTTCTGAATCCATGCTGTTATTTATATAATAAAAATAATTTTTTCCATTATGTTGGATATGCATGTCAGGGATACTAGTGTGCAAATTAGTGCCTCTTGCATCTTTCCTTTTGTGACGACTGGTTCTGTATTTGTAATTTTCATCTTTCTGGTGGTTTTCCAGTGGTTTGTTAATGACCTTTGTTGTACCCTGCAGAGACTGACAACTCTGTCAGTATAGATGGTGAGGATTTTGTCTTTTCCCATTATCTCTAATTTGTTCATTATTTTTAAGTGTTTTCTAATGATTTCTTTTTCTTCTTTCCCAACTATGGTGTTTGTTATCGTGTGGAAAATTCTGACCTCCATTAGCACTCACCTCGCTCCTTCAGTAACAGTTCCACTACATATGCTAACATGAGGATGCAGTGGTCGGTGGCTGCTTGTGGGGGTTCATGTTGAACTCCTGAAGGCATGATATTTCCTGGATGAATACTAGATATAGTGTGGATGGTTTGTCACCTCCACTTAAGAGATGTCACATGATGAGTGAGCAAGTTCTGCAACATTATGTCCATACATTTAGTTCACTATATGTGTGTGTGTACTCACCTAGTTGTACTCACCTAGTTCAGGTTGCAGGGGTCGAGTCAAAGCTCCTGGCCCCGCCTCTTCACTGGTCGCTACTAGGTCACTCTCCCTGAACCGTGAGCTTTATCATACCTCTGCTTAAAGCTATGTATGGATCCTGCCTCCACTGCATCGCTTCCCAAACTATTCCACTTCCTGACTACTCTGTGGCTGAAGAAATACTTCATAACAT